CATAGTTCTGACAGGAGCTGTTCTTGAAAAAGAGCCATTTCTGTCAAGAGCTCTCTCAGCCCCACCGACCTCACAGGGTGTCTGCTGTGGGGAAGGGAAAGGATTTTGTAAGCCGCTCTGAGACACCTTTGGGTAGTGAAGGGCGGGGTATAAATCCAGTCTTTTCTCCTCCTCCTCCTCCTCTTCTTCTTCTAAAATACATTAAATATATATATATATCAAACCAAAATTTAAAATCAGAGTTTAGGACTGCTTTAGAGTCAATCCCTCTAACCTGTCTTACTGGTTTGTTGTAGATATAAAGGGAGGAAGGGGAAGACCACGTGCACAGCTCTGATCTCTTTGGAAGAATCCTTGTAGGGTTAAGAAAATGTTCTAGCCAGATAAAACAGAATATATATTGTGCCTTTACACTGCTGAGGATTGCCCATTTAGTCTGTGGACACCAGGGAGCAAATGAGTTATATAAAAGAATAGCAAGAACTGTGCCAGAACCAAGCAAGATGATTTGCTTTGTAGAAACGACCTGGTATTTCTGTTCCTCTGGAGCAAACCAAGGTGGTGGTAAGTGTCTCAAACCCTTTTCCCTGTGAGACTGCAGAGTACATCTAATATATAGCCAAACTTCAGGTAGTTAGTTCTGATCCAATATATACAGTGTGGTTTTCTTCGAAACTACTTTTGAGAGCTTTCCAGTCAGATAAGCTTCAGAGTCCCTGGAATTTTTCCAGTAGCTTGACACATTCACCTGTAAGGAGTTCCATGCATTTGACATGCAGGGAAGTAATGGGAAATGACAACAGGAATTGTTGATGCTCAACTTGAGGAATGGATTAATATGAAGAGTGGCTGTAGTTTTTCAGTGTTGTTGTTGCTCTGAAAGAAGCTGTTCATTTCAGCAGAGGGTCTCTTTGGTGTGGGAACCATGTTAAATGGCAGAATGCAGGAGTATGTTCCATAACGGGGGCAGGGGCACTTTGAATTGCTGTAGGCTCAGTTGTATTTTGCACTATACAGCGAGTCTCTAATATGGTTTCCTTCTGTTTTACAAAGAGTAGATTAAAAATAGCTTCAATCCAAAATTACTCCGCCAAAATTAGAACGTCAGTTAACAGGCTGTACCAGACAGATTAATCATCACTAAAAGGGCCGTCATGCAGGTGAGAGGCCACCTCCTCCAGTCTTCGCGGAATTCACCCTCCCTCTCTTTAGCTTTCTTGCCTGACTTCCCATGCATGTCTTTCAGACAGACTAGCATAGAGAGCAGAGGCCCGTTTCAAATGTTTCAAGGTGAAAAGTGCTTCCTGGTGGCGCTGTAACATTTAAAAATGTGTGGGAAGCGAATGATATCGCCAGATTATCTTTGGGCCAGAGCTTGCATGTACCAGGGGAGAAGAGGACTGGTATGGATCCTGCATGCTACAGGCACGGCTCTTGAGAATTGCTCTCTCTGCGATAGGCAGAATTATATCCATTGTCTGAAGCACTTTTCAGCAGGTCGCTGGTGACCTTGGAGTTTTTTAACTGAGGGTGTTTGTGTGCGGCAAGCGCCGTCAAATCGCAGCCGATTTACGGTAAGCCCATCAAGGACCTTTCAAGGCAAGTGAGGAGCAGAGGTGGTTTGCCATTGCCTTCCTCGGCAGGGTCTTCCTTGGTGGTCTCCCATCCAAGGTTTACGGTGAGCCCATCAAGGACCTTTCAAGGCAAGTGAGGAGCAGAGGTGGTTTGCCATTGCCTTCCTCGGCAGGGTCTTCCCATCCAAATCCTGACCCTGCTTCTTTTCTGATATCTGACGTGATCTTCCTGATACTCAGCTGTCATCCTGCTTTGGCACTTTCTGGTTTGGTGCAGTGGTTAAGTGTGCGGACTCTAATCTGGGAGAACCGGGTTTGATTCCCCACTCCTCCACTTGCACCTGCTGATGTGACCTTGGGTCAGTCACAAGCTCTGGCACAGCTGTCCTTGAAAAAGAGCAGTTTGTGTCAGAGCTCTCTCAGTCCCACCTACCTCACAGGGTGTCAGTTGTGGGGAGGGGAAGGGAAAGGAGTTTGTAAGCTGCTCTGAGACTCCTTTGGGTAGTGAAGGGCGAGGGATAAATCCAATCTCCTCTTCTCTTCTTCTTCTTCTTTAACCTTCATAAGTGGTCTTTTGAGGTCTTCCCTATTTGCTGCCCGTAATGTGTCATCTGCATATTGCAAATGGTTGATGTTCCTTCCATGTGTTTTCACTCCACTTTCATCTAGATCTGCTTCAGCTTTCCTTATGATATGATCTGCATGTTGATTGAACAGACAGGGAGATAAAAGTTCTGAAACACCTTTGCCAATTGGAAGCCATCCTGTTTCTCCATATTCTGTCCTAACAGTATCCTCTTTTCCAGAGTATAAGTTGCACATCAAGACAATCAGATGTTGTGGCACACCCATTTCTTTTAAAACCACAAAGTAAAGATTGTAAAAAAATGGGATTCAAAGGCCATGAAAAGCAAGAGAGATGATGCAGATGACCTCATGCATTTCATAATCTTTAGACCTTGCCTTTTGCATTTTTTCTCCGTATCCACTTGTGTATGGTATCATTTGAGTAGGATACACCGTATGATGCATTGGGGTCTGTGCTCTCATAAATGTAGTCTTTAACTCTTCATTGCTTTTTGCTGCAGCAGACAAATGCAGCCATCCTTTTGGAATTTGTCACCACCCCACAGGGTTGTCGGCAATGCTCCCTCTAAGCCATGGAGTCTTGTGAGCAAAAATTCTGCTGTGAGCTACTGGCATTAAAGTTGTGAGCGAGTGATTTGGCTGCTGCATGAATTAGTTTGCTCTGGACACATCCTTCCTGAGCTAAGACAAAAATGTGTGAGCCGGAGGCTAAAAAACTGTGAGCTAGCTCACGCTAACTCAGCTTAGAGGGAACACTGGTTGTTGGTTGCGTGTATTAGGTAGAACGCAATATATGCTAACCTGAGCTTTTGGCAGAATACCAGTGTAAAAAAAATAATAATGTATGCCATTGCCGATGGAGCATTTAACACATTACTTCTGAAAAAATGTTAGTAATTTGCATCACAGTGCTAAAATGGCATGTAGTCGCATACCAAATGAGAAGAATTTTTAACATTTTATCTGGAAAATAGTAAGCCGCATTTGCACAGAAAAGTATAACAAGAGGAGGAGAGACATTCTAGACAATCCGTGAGTGACAGCATGTCACCTTTTCACACATCTGAATGGCAGGACATTAATAGGGTGCATAATGAAGAAATTGGAATAAGCTAGTAAATTATATAATTATATAATGGCATGTTCTGATACTTGGCTGAGGCAGAATGGGACATAATGGGGATGCAGTGTAATGATAGCCGTGACTCATGCAGGATGTAAATATGTAAATATTAGTGAAATGTGTTAAAGAAGAAGCTTGTTATCCTGTTGGTAATGAAAAGCTTCATTAAAATGTGGAGTTGAAGGGGAAAGTCTGAATCATACATTGTAGATTTTGTACAGCAGGGAAGAAGTTTACGGTACAATTTAAATTACTTGACTTGGCAGATGGAAGAGGGTGCGTGTGTATTTTTCCCCCCAAAACCTCAGTCGAATAGCCTTCAATAGCAGATAGAAGCTAGGCATTAGAAAACACAGTCCTGCTGCCAAAAATGGCATCCTGGTCTCTAGTCCTCCCTTGGCCCCCCCTCCCTGCCCTCCGTAACATCTACTGAAAGTCACAGTATGATGAGACATCATTACACTGTGAATTTTTCCACCCCTACTAGAAAGTGGCAGCGATGCAGAGAAGATTGAGATAATTTGCCCAGGGATGTGATGCATTATATTAGGTGAGTGCCACGACATACTGCACAGCACAGGGAGACAACTAGACATGGGGGGATGTCATTTTTAACAGCAGCCATGTGTCATCTTTTAACATAATGCTGGCAGCGATGTGGAGAAAAGCAGGGCACTATGCCATATGATGTGACGCGTCATAAGGTGAGGGCCATTACCTGTTACAGAGCATATAACTAGACGCAGGGATGCCATTTTTGGTAGCAACCCCATGTCATCTCTTAACATAAAGTTGCATACAGAGAATCTTTTCTTCTGCCAATGCCTTTTGCCGCAACACCTAAAAATATACTGAGAGTCTGCTTCTTTTCCTTTGATACGATAATATCTTATCACCAGTTTAGAGCGTTTCGACACACTGACCCCTTTGTTCCATATAGGAATAGTGTGGGTTGTGTGAGCTATCACTTGTGATTATCATGTATTTGGCCCACAATTGGACATATTGTTTGGTGGGAAAATAAGTCATGGGGGGGAAAGCTAAATACAAATACTGTGCTATAATATGGGACCCAAAGAGCTACTTTTAGCATACCCAAGGAACTGTGCATGTCTAGTGGTTTCCCCCCCCCTAATATCAGCCACCCCCCTCCCCATGCTGTATCAAAGTGTTTATGATGCACTTGCTGTGCATCAGGTGTGTGGGCATGTTCAGGAACCAGATACACCCAGGCCCCTTGGGCACGTGAGAGCTCATGTGGTTCTCTTTATCCCGGCCATACAGCCTTCAGTATCCTTTGAGCTTTACAGAGTAGCATCAGCAAAAGGAGAGAAATGCTTTGGAGGCTACAATCCCTGAAACAACTTTGTTTGTTAAATAAGCATCTGAAATAAGTTGTTTGTTACATAAGCGCTAGAGGACCTATCCTAGCTTTCCACAGAGAACACTTGTTGAATTTATTTTACATTCTTTAGTGAATTTAAAGGAAAAATTTGCCCCTCCCCACCTTCTGCAACACAACAATGAGTGTTTTCAGTATTCCAGGCACATAGGGAGGCAATAAATATTAATCAGCCCACTAACGGAGTCTATTTAGAATCCCTTAGTTTTCCATGGATACTCAGTCGTACAAAGCAGCTCACAGCAGAGAGGAAGGGATGGGGAAAAAAACCTGAAATCTGTTGCATGTTTTTTCTCTCCCCTTTCTTTTGCAGCAACCAGCAAGCTTTCTTACTAGAGAACGTCCCATGCAATAACGCGAGCTGCAAGAGCGTGCACCGTATGTTTAAGGTCCACTGGGATCTCTCAGATCTGAATCAAATCGCAGGCGCCGTGGTGGCCACCTTCTTTGACATTTATGAAGATGTGAGTTCAGCTCTCTTCAGTGTTTTCCTGCGGCCTTAATTGCCGACTGCCCGTTCTTGTTTGAGGTTTCATTCCAAACTAGCATTTAGTAGTATTTTGACAGGACGGATCCACACCATGTAATGAAAACAAACGATTTGATGGGGGGGGGAACCCGAGTCATTTTCGAGCTAGAGGGAAAGCTGCTGATTGATGGAGCTGCCTTATATCGTGCTGGGCCCTTCGGGCAGTATTGTGGACTCTGAGTGGGAGTGGCCCTTCAGAGTCTTACAGAAAGAAAGGTCTTCCTCTGTACCTTCTGCCTGAGACCTTTTAGCTGGGCCTGCTGGGGACTGACGCTTCTCTGTGTAAAGTATGGGCTCCCCAGTGAACAGCCAGTCTTCATTTGCAATAAAGACTAATAGAATAAATCTACTCCCCCTTTGGTATCCTCTTGGTCAAGACTTGGGTCATATAGACCTGTAATAAATTGAATTGAAGAATAAATCTACGCTAATGAAGGAGGGGATTTAACCCTAGTGAGCAGAACTGCCCTAAGGGGTAGGTATGCAGTGTCAACGCTCAACATTAAATTCAGCAAGCCCGCTGGAGTTCGTATTATCAAATGAGAGAAGCAACCACGCCTGTTTTCTTTTTGTTTTCCCCTTGCCTTTTCTTGTTTTGAAACTGCTGAGAAATTGTGGGGTTTATTTACACCCCCACCGTTTCCCCCAATGGGGCTCCAGAGCATCTCCTCCGTTTTACCTTCATCACTACAACCATCACTGTGTGAGGTTGGCTGAGAGGCAGTCACCAGCCCAACCTCACACCAACCAGTGCTGGAGAAGACTCTTGAGAGTCTCTTGGACTGCAAGGAGATCAAATCAGTCAATCCTAAAAGAATCAACCCTGACTGTTCCCTGGAAGGCCAGATAATGAAACTGAAGCTCAAATACTTTGGCCACCAAATGAAAAGGGAGCACTCACTGAAGAAGACCCTTATGCTGGGAAAGATTTAAGGTAAAAGAAGAAGGGGATGGCAAAGGATGAGATGGTTAGACAGTGTTATCGATGCAACAAACAAAAATAAGCAAACTCCAGAGGACGGCAGAAGACAGGAGGGCCTGGCGTGATGTGGTCCATGGGGTCGCAAAGAGTCGGACTTGACTGTGCAACTGAACAACAACAAAAGCAGTTTTGAAAAATCTGCACTGACCAAAGCTAATGTAAACCATAAGATTCCAGGTCATTCCAGCACCCACTGACTGCCAAATGTTTGCACAAATTCATTTCCACGCAGTGCCTGAGCATACAACACATCTGGCTCCCGAATTTCAGTGCCAGATTTCCCTTGGCCTCAAGTTCACTTCTAGCTCCTTGAACTTTTCACCGTCTCTGTTTGTTCACACCAAATCATGAAGCTACCCCCAGACTCGTCATCAGTTATAATTTCTGATTCCTCCCCCCAAAAAACAGTGTTGTGCTTAGTTTAGTTGGAAGTTCCAAGGGTGAAAAGTACATCTCCGCTTTTTTTTCTGCTGTGTGTTCTGCCAAATAAGTCATTCAAAATGTTTTTCATGTTCCCTAATATCTGGAGGTGAAGTCTGACACTTTTGAAGGATTGTTTAATGCAAGCTTGATATCTGCTTAGCACAGCAGTGTTTCCTGTTGTGGAGAAGTCATAAAACTGACATGTTTCCTGTTAAATGTAGTGATGGATGGAACGGCATGGCCCCAGAATACATCACTTTGTACTTAAACAGGTGCCTGCAGCCTCTATCCATGAAAAGTTGAAAAGGAACACATGTGAAAAGCTACCATGTGATCACAGTTCCCTTTTGACGCCATTTAATTTATGATAAGAGGGAATGTTCAGATCTGGACGATGTAGTGCCTTTAGAAATAGCATGAGTCATAAGAATGTTACTCCTGGAGCATACATGTTATGGCAGGCATAGGCAGCAAGCAGATTTATGCTTGCCCGCAGAGACTTGTGGATCCAGTTGGTTTCCGGAATATTCTTGGGATCCCACACCCGCTAATGACTCGCTAGATGTGCTGACCAAAGACTGCTATCTCGTATCGACGAGATGGCCCCCCCGACATCCTCTTTGCCACCGTTCCAAATTAGCTCTTTGGTATACCTTGGAGCTGAGAGAGATGAAACAGGAGCTTAGACTAGAGCAAGCATGGTGTCATGCTTGCAATGAGGATACAAGAACATCCTATAGGACATTTACAAGATCCTATGAGATAGCAGTGAAGGCCACAAAGAGAGATTACTGTGTGGCCTCCATTGTATCTGCAAGCTCTTGCCCAGCACAATTGTCCAAGGCAATCAGGTCTCTTACGTCCCTTTCAGGGGACTCCCAAAATTCTAGTGGATTGGCTATTAGCTGTGAGGCATTTGCAAGCTATTTTGCAGAGAAAGTCTTGTCCCTCTGCTGTGACCTCCCCACCACTGTTGATGCAGTAAGTGAACTGAAGGCCCCTTGGTCATCTTCAGCGTCAGTTCAGGCGACTCTCCCAGACTTATGTGGACAAGATCCTGTTAGCTGTTAGGCCCACCACTTGCCCCCTTGATCTGTGCCCTCCCTGACTGGTGAAAGCCAGTGGGGAGAGGTTACGGACTTCCCTGGAAGGCATTATCAATCTGTCCCTGAGTTCAAGGGTATTTCCAGGGATCTTGAAGGAGGCAGTGGTGAGATTGCTGCTGAAGAAACCATCGCTAGATGTTTTTGATCTGGCCAGCTACCGTCCAGTATCAAATGTCTCATTTGTGGGCAAAATAGTTGAGCAGACAGTGGCACAACAGCTGGAGGCCTTCTTGGATGACACATCGGCTCTGGATCCATTCTAGTCCGGCATCCGACTGAGTCATGGGACGGTGTTGGTCGCCCCAACAGACGACCTCCATAGAAAGTTGGATTGGGGCAAATCAGTGCTGCTGCTACTACTAGATCTTTCGGTAGCGTTTGACATGTTCGACCATGACCTGTTGACCCACCACCACGTCAGTGCTGCTGCTACTACTAGATCTTTCGGTAGCGTTTGACATGTTCAACCATGACCTGTTGACCCACCACCACGTCAGTGCTGCTGCTACTACTAGATCTTTCGGTAGCGTTTGACATGTTCGACCATGACCTGTTGACCCACCACCACGTCAGTGCTGCTGCTACTACTAGATCTTTCGGTAGCGTTTGACATGTTCAACCATGACCTGTTGACCCACCACCACATCGGTGCTGCTGCTACTACTAGATCTTTCGGTAGCGTTTGACATGTTCGACCATGACCTGTTGACCCACCACCACGTCAGTGCTGCTGCTACTACTAGATCTTTCGGTAGCGTTTGACATGTTCAACCATGACCTGTTGACCCACCACCACATCGGTGCTGCTGCTACTACTAGATCTTTCAGTAGCGTTTGACATGTTCGACCATGACCTGTTGACCCACCACCACGTCAGTGCTGCTGCTACTACTAGATCTTTCGGTAGCGTTTGACATGTTCAACCATGACCTGTTGACCCACCACCACATCGGTGCTGCTGCTACTACTAGATCTTTCAGTAGCGTTTGACATGTTCGACCATGACCTGTTGACCCACCACCACGTCAGTGCTGCTGCTACTACTAGATCTTTCGGTAGCGTTTGACATGTTCAACCATGACCTGTTGACCCACCACCACATCGGTGCTGCTGCTACTACTAGATCTTTCAGTAGCGTTTGACATGTTCGACCATGACCTGTTGACCCACCACCACGTCAGTGCTGCTGCTACTACTAGATCTTTCGGTAGCGTTTGACATGTTCAACCATGACCTGTTGACCCACCACCACATCGGTGCTGCTGCTACTACTAGATCTTTCAGTAGCGTTTGACATGTTCGACCATGACCTGTTGACCCACCACCACGTCAGTGCTGCTGCTACTACTAGATCTTTCGGTAGCGTTTGACATGTTCAACCATGACCTGTTGACCCACCACCACATCGGTGCTGCTGCTACTACTAGATCTTTCAGTAGCGTTTGACATGTTCGACCATGACCTGTTGACCCACCACCACGTCAGTGCTGCTGCTACTACTAGATCTTTCGGTAGCGTTTGACATGTTCAACCATGACCTGTTGACCCACCACCACATCGGTGCTGCTGCTACTACTAGATCTTTCAGTAGCGTTTGACATGTTCGACCATGACCTGTTGACCCACCACCACGTCAGTGCTGCTGCTACTACTAGATCTTTCGGTAGCGTTTGACATGTTCAACCATGACCTGTTGACCCACCACCACATCGGTGCTGCTGCTACTACTAGATCTTTCAGTAGCGTTTGACATGTTCGACCATGACCTGTTGACCCACCACCACGTCAGTGCTGCTGCTACTACTAGATCTTTCGGTAGCGTTTGACATGTTCAACCATGACCTGTTGACCCACCACCACATCGGTGCTGCTGCTACTACTAGATCTTTCAGTAGCGTTTGACATGTTCGACCATGACCATTTGCAGAAATCACCCCTGAAATTTCTAAATTTCCACAAGGGTTGCTTTCCTCCCCTTTTCACAGACTGAAAACATTCTGGCTGCGTGTGAACAGTTTCCCCCTCAGTGCGTGTGATTTAACTAAATTATTCAAACAAGGGTGGCTGACATGTGTATTCCTGACTGCCACTGTATTTTCAAAACAGGATTTGGTGACTAAAAATGTGTACTGCAGCAGAACACGACCCACTCTATAACAGATCTGACGCCACCTGGCAACAAGAGTGTTACGACCACGGAGCGCATGTGCAGAGCCAGAGAATAACATACAAAGGAAAAAGAAATATTAAAATGAGAGATCGCTCTTCCTTGGTGCCCTCAAGTCGCAGCAGACTCATGGCAACCCCTTAATGTTCTCAAGTAATAGACATTCAGAGGTGGAACAAAGTTAAGAGTCCAGTGGCACCTTTAAGACCAACAAAGTTTTATTCGAGGTGTGAGCTTTCGTGTCTGACGGAAGTGTGCTTTGCAAACGAAAGCTCACACCTCGAATAAAACTTTGTCGGTCTTAAAGACGCCACTGGACTCTAACTTTGTTCTGTTGCTTCAGACGAACACGGCTGCCGACCTTGACCATTCAGAGGTGGTTTGCCTTTGCCTGCCTCTGCGTAGCAACCCTGGACTCCCTTGGTGGCCTTTTATCCGAGGACTAACCAGAGCTGACCCTGCTTAGTTTCTGAGCTCTAAGGAGATCAGGCTACCCTGTACCATCCAGGTTTGGATTTCTCTTTCTTACAACTTTCAAAAAAACTGTTGCCTTTTATTTGCAAAGAAAGTGGTCACTAAATTTTTCATTACAGCCCTACTGAAAATAGGTAGGGGTTAAGGAGAAGCGGACGATAAAACCATTCACTGGCCAAATCATATCCCTGGGTCTTCCGACAGACCGCTTTGTTTTTACGATTTCAGTTCTAATTTGAGCTAAAGCGTATCTGCTCTCTCGTGACTTTTGCTTGTTAGGTATTTGGCTGCTTTCATATTTTTTTTGGTCTGCTTTTTTAATGACTGTACTTAAATGCTGTCTGGTTAATCCCCTTTTGCCCTCTTTCTTCAGGGCATCTTGGATATAATTGTTCTCAGCAACAGCTCTAAGACAGAACTTGCCATCCACGCATTAAAAAATAATTTTGAAGCAGATGCCTATTTTGTTAAAGTCATTGGTAAGTGGATTGCTTTGAAGATATTTTTAAATGTTTGGTGGGAGCGGGGGAGAGCCTGTTATCGCTTCTACTTGTATGTCTAGAGCAACAGAAAGTACTGTAATAAAAAAAAAAGAAGTCAGTAGAGGCATATTTGGGAGGCCTTTAAGGAAAATGGGTTGGATCCAGCAACATGAACACACAAAGCTTTGTTGTTGTTGTTCAGTCGCACAGTCGAGTCCAACTCTTCGCGACCCCATGGACCAGCTCCCGCCAAGCCCTCCTGTCTTCCGCCGTCCTCTGAAGTTGGCTCAATTTCATGTTCGTTGCATCGATGACACTGTCTAACCATCTCATCCTTTGCCGTCCCCGTCTTCTTTGACCTTCAATCTTTCCCAGCATCAGGGTCTTCTCCAGTGAGTGCTCCCTTCTCATTGGGTGGCCAAAGTATTTGAGCTTCAGTTTCATTATCTGGCCTTCCAGGGAACAGTCAGGGTTGATTTCTTTGAGGATTGACTGATTTGATCTTCTTGCAGTCCAAGGGACTCTCAAGAGTCTCCTCCAGCACCATAGTTCAAAAGAATCTATTCTTCGGCGCTCGGCCTTCCTTATAGTCCAACTCTCACAGCCATACATGACTACTGGGAATACCATTGCTTGGACCATGCGTATTTTTGTTGGCAGGGTGATGTCTCTACTTTTTATCATGCTGTTTAGGTTCGCCATCGCTTTCCTCCCAAGGAGCAGGCGTCTTTTAATTTCATGGCTGCAGTCACAGTCTGCGGTGATCTGGGATCGGCTGTGCTAAGAATCATGGGACTTGCATATACAGAAGCTATGTGGGAGGGGGCTTGGGTGAGATTGATAGAAAAGGCTGGCTGGATCCAACCTGACATGATCAGTTATATAATCCCAGGTATGCTTTTATCCCCCTCCTTGCCAATTTATATATTTATGTATTATTGTCTTTGCAGAAGTCTAACTTGGAACTTCTCTCGGTTCAAAAGCTGCCTTTTTCTGGCTGTTTCCTCAATTCCCAGCTCAGGCCCATCTTTTCCATTAAACCCCTGGCTTAGTCTTCTTGGTTTTAATCCCAGTACTGTTTGAGTGAGTACCCTGGTGAGCTTTCGCTGCAGTCAGGGAAGGGGAAATCCACTCTGGGAATGAGCTGGGAGTGTGTGACACACACACACACCCCATGGCTGCTCCCAGGCTCAGAATCTTTGTTCCACCTGTGTTCCAGGCAGCCCTGTAGCTAGGGATTTTGGAGGGGGAGGGGGCCTGGGGGTGTAGCTAATTAAATCATAGTTAATTCAATTTGGGGTCCGCCCAGGAGGGAGGGGGCCCAGAAGAAATGCTAGGGGGCCAGACCCTGTGGGCCCCACATTAGCTACAGGCCTGGTTCCAGGTTCCAGGTATTGTACCCATGCAGTCAGGCCTCCAAACAGATTTGTGGGAGTCACATGCAAAAACAAATTGTGGACTGGGGATGAACATGAATAATCTTCTGCTCCTTCCCCGCCCTTCCTCCTGTGACGTGTGGCTCAGAAATTAAACACTTTTGCAACAAACCAGAATGCGTCATTTTGTGTGAATCACAAACTGCGGTTTGCTGTCTTCCCACCTAATTGTTTTTTTGAGAGTCCCTTGGACTGCAAGGAGATCAAATCAGTCAATCCTAAAAGAAATCAACCCTGACTGTTCCCTGGAAGGACAGATACTGAAGCTGAAGCTCAAATACTTTGGCCACCAAATGAGAAGGGAGCCCTCACTGGAGAAGACCCTGATGCTGGGAAAGATTGAAGGTCAAAGAAGACGGGGACTGCAAAGGATGGGGTGGTTAGACAGGGTTATCGAGGCAACGAACATGAAATTAAGCAAGACAGGAGGGCCTGGCATGATGTGGTCCATGGGGTTGCGAAGAGTCAGACTCGGCTGTGCGACTGAACAACAACAACACCTAATTAAAATTACAAACCACAAGTCAATCCTGGCTTGAAGGGGGGGGGGAACAAACTATATAGAGGTTGTATGATTCAGACAACACAGCAAAATAATATTCAGGCTTGTATGATCCTTCTGCTCTTTGACTGCGTTTCTTCCTTCTGCTTCGGCAACAAAGCAGAGTTTGTCATTTTGTCTGGATCACAAACTGTGGTTTCTCTCTTCCCTAATTAAAAGTTCAAAACCACAGTTTAATCCTGATTTGAAGTGGGGCAAAACCCCAACTATACAGACCATGTGATTCAGACACACACAAAAAACGATAGCCCACTGCAGAACCGTTAAGCATCCCTTTATTGGTTATCACAACTAATGTTGCTGGTGCTAATCTTTTGTGTTTTTTAAAATTTGTTTGAATGTACTTATTTTCTCATGTTTTTGTTGAGAAGCATATAACCATCGTCAAAAAGAGATGTATTCCTATGTATAAAATTTATAGCTGTATGTAGAGGACTGCAGTAATAAGGGGTTGGGTTGGTGAGGTATAATAAGACCTGAAAACGTTTCACTTGTAGAGAAAATATGCAAGGTAACCAAAAGTGAAACACTATTTTCAAGCAGCTTTTATCCAAAGCCCAGGAGGAGGGCTGCTTTTAATCAGAGCTATGGAGAATTAACTCCAATACGATCTACCCCTTGCTGCTTCTGAGTATACAGACTGTGGTGCTGCCACTGCACAGTTGGTTCAATAAAAGAAGCGGCATACTCTGGATCACCAGGCACTCCGATGAGGACTATTGATCCTCAGCCTCCGAGGACAGAATTCACAGCGCATGAAGACTACTGAAAGGTTAAACTGAAATAAAGTATTTTAAGCAACTAAGCAAATTGTGCATTTAACAGACAGACCATTTCCAGAAGCACAGCTTCCAACCTTTCACACATGGAAATGTGGAATGCTTCTTGGTGCTTGAACTGTCGCGGTTTTGACATTTGGTATCACAACCTGAATTGCACTCTCCGTGCACAATTAGACAATGATTCCGGGGGGGGGGATAGCCCAGGATGGCTTTATCTTGTCAGATAAAGGGAATTCGAAAGGGAATTAGATAAGCATATGGAGCAGAGGTCCATCAGTGGCTATTAGCCACAAGGTATAGATAGGGACTCTGGGGCAAGTGATGCTCTGTCTTCTTGGTGCTTGGGGGGGCCAATAGTGGGAGGGCTTCCTTCTAATGTCTCCCACTGGTGGACCTCCTGATGGCACCTGGTATTTCTGGTCACTGTGTGATACAGAGTGTTGGACTGGATGGGCCTTTGACCTGATCCAACATTGGCATCTCTTATGTTCTTATCTCAGAAGCTAAGCAGGGTCAGCCCTGGTTAGTATATGGATGGGAGACCTCCAAGGAAATCCAGGGTTGCTACGGCAGAGGCAATCAGGGGTTAACCCACCTCTGTTGGTCTCTTGCCACGAAACCCCCTTGAGGGATCGTCGTAAGTCAGCTGCTACTTTATGGCCTAAAAAGAAAAAAAAAGTGTTTATTTTTATTTTATCTTATTCGTTCGATTTATACCCCGTCCTTCCCGCCAAGTATTAGCTTGCTGCTGCAAAATGGAACAAAAGGCCACTGGCACCTTGAAGACGAACAAAATCTATTCCAGCGTAAGCGTCCATTGAGTCAAAGGAAGCTCCCTTTGTCAGAGGCAGTTATACTCTTTGTTCCCTGCTTGCATGCTGTATTCATACTGCACTGGATTCCGAAGCAAGCGTGTTAGCAAACTGAGCACGGCAGGTTGTACACTTAATATTGATTCGCCACAAATATGGAGAGTAGTGTTTGCTGTCTACAGAGGCTGCTGGAGGGGTGAAAGGGGTCTGTTATGGAAAGGCAGCGTTCACCTTGCCGTGTGTGTTTAGGAACCTTGAACGTGTGGGCACCCTTGGAATTCTGACACAAAATGGCTGCTGCAGCAGGCAGAGTCAGCCACAAGAGCCAGTTCGGTGTCGTGGTTAAGTGCATGGACTCTAATCTGGGAGAACCGGGTTTGATTCCTCCACTCTTCCATTTGCAGCTGCTGATGTGACCTTGGGTCAGTCACAAGCTCTGGCACAGCTGTCCTTGAAAAAGAGCCGTTTGTGTCAGAGTTCTCTCAGCCCCACCTACCTCACAGGGTGTCTGTTGTGGGGAGGGGAAGGGGAAGGAAGTTTGTAAGCCGCTCTGAGACTCCAAGTGAAGGGCGGGGTATAAATCCAATCTCTTCTCTTCCTCTACAAGATGGCTGCCACAGCTTACCTTCAGTCACCCAGTGAAGATCCATGTGTTGTGGTGGTCCCCGCGGTGACCAGGTGCTGGGCAGCGGGAGACACAGAGGCAAGGCCTAAGACCTTGGAAGGGAAGCTTGCAGTCCTGACCCTCCAAGCAGGCAATTCCTCACAAAGGTCAGGTGGTGGCAATGGTTACCCAAGAGAGAAAGAAAAACCTCTCTAGGTGTTGGGGAAAACTTTGGTTGGAACAGGACCTGCAGGCCAGAGCGGGCCCATTTCGCCACACCCTCCCAGCAGAATTACCTCTGTTACAGTTTTAGAGCCTACATGTGATGAAGGGGGCTTCAGCCAACCAAAGTTCCGGTATATCCGTTGGTCTTTAAGGTTGCTTTGGAGCTAATAGATATTGCTCTTGATACACCTGTTCTGAAGAGGTTTCAAGTCTCCCTTCAGCCGTGCCAGGACTCTGAAGGCAACTGATTAACTGACTTCAGTGGTAGAGAGTAGAGGTTGCTACACTCGGGCGCTTACAGTTGGTAGCCAACATCCCATTGGACCTTTTAGCTGGAGTGTTTTCTCCTCATCAGCCAGCACTACAGATATTTTCTGTGCTAGAATGCTGCGCACGCGCGCGCACACACACACATAGCCTCCTACTGAGGTTCCTAGCTTCCCACTTCCTGACAGTGCCTGTTGGTTGGAGACTGGCTCCCAGCAAGCTAGCCAACTATCCACTTGCCCAGTAGCAGATTGTAAACTCCTGAACACTATGCCTGATGGTTTTCAGTTGCACAGGCTAAATCCATGCAGTGCACGCATGTGGTGACAGACTGAACCAGCAATGTTCTAGTATATCCCAGGTCCTCAGTTTTTGGTGTAAGAACCCTTATGGTCCATCTTTGTGGGGAATTTCCTGTGCTATGAGGAGATGTTCCCGGGTACAACAAATTAGGCATGAAATAGCCGGGGAGCAGTGTTCCCTCTAAGCTGAGTTAGTATGAGCTAGCTCACAGTTTTTTAGCCTCCAGTTCACACATTTTTGTCTTCACTCAGGAAGGATGGCCCCAGAGCAAACTAATTTATGCAGAAGCCAAATCGCTCGCTCACAACCTTAATCCCGGTAGCTCACAATTTGCTCACAGGACTCCACAGCTTAGAGGGAGCACTGCCGGGGGGCACTTTGTACCTGCAATGCTGCTTGTGCTGCATACTGTGGCTACTAGTGGATGGATAAGGGGCTGGGCCAGGCTGGAGACATACTCCACATGACAAGGAGAGGCTGGATGCTCCAAAAGAGCACATCTAATTTCCAACCCCACTTTTCCCTCGGAACATTCGGAAATGCTTACATGGAGCTCCCAGTGAGGACTACGTGGAGGTCCGAGTGGTCTCACATTCAAGCATTGATCAGCTTTGCACCTGCTTAGCTTGAACAGTGCCATAGCAGCGAATGCTCCTTGACTCATTCACTGAGCCTGTTTTTTACCATTGTATTGGTTTGCGTCAGTTGACTGGAGCAAGTTCACTGTAGGAATATGCATCGCATGATGCATGCAAAACGGCTGAATTCAGCAGAGAATGCAATAAAATGGTAAATTTAAATACAGCTTTTTTTTATTTTAGATACCTACTAGGTAATGGCTGTGACCTAAATATCATATTTAAGAAGCTATACAAAGTTAAAGCAAAAGAAGTCCGGCACAATGGCATATATGTATTCACTGAAGTCCTTTTATTTTTTTAACTTTTCATTCTCTCCCTCGAAAGCAGCGCTTGCGTTTCTTGCATCTAAAACGGGAAACCCACCAATTACTTTAGAAAGAGGGCAAAACTTTTTTTCAAAGACGCCCGGCTTTGGCACACGGCATTATTAAGGAATCGGCTGCTTAATCACAGCACATTACATGGTTGAACCAGTTTTAAGTCTTGGCACAATGGATTGAAGTGCTTTCAGGAACAGATGTTGTCAGAGTGTTAAGGGGCAGGAAAGAGGAAAAGAAGTGAACGAGACATTAATTTGTAGCCTGCTGACAAAGAGACTTTTCTGCATTTTCCACGGCCAGTAGGCTGTTTGCTCAGGCATTCGTTACCTCTCCAGTCCTCCCCACCCAACCATTATTGATTTTTAAAAAACATTTGTGTTTAGAAATGGTCAGGCGATACTGCCCTGCTGCAAAGGAAGTATAAAGGTTGGGTGTATTACAGGATGAGGGAGAGAGCAACCTAGTTTTATAAAACTAACACTTTTTGACACAAGTGATGGAGTCCATGTCAGGCTCATCCTGTGGTTGACCGAAGATCTGAACCCAGGTCTTCCAAGCATTTGTCCATATGGCTTGTTGTGCTTTGCTTCCTATATGCATAGACAGTTCCTTGAATACAGTTCTATTAATTCCCTCCTTTATATAGAACATATGGCTGTTTCTATGAGGTTTTTACAAAATGACAAAGCAGATGCAGGTGTAGTTGAGAAATGAGTGAAATTGGGGGCTTCTTCTTCCTTTCTTCGTACACAACTACATAAGTACTTCTCCTTCTGTGGCAAACAGTGGCCATGTCGGAATCTTGGTTAGATGAGTCTCTCCATCAGACCGGGATTAAGGCAGAATTTGGAATCTTTGCTTAGAGGGAAGTGAACAAATCATCATTCGCGATCCAACGTAAGCGGTGGCACAGTGGGTATATCCCACTGTCTTAACATCTGAACTGTGTTAGTTCAAGCCCCGCGCTGGTGTGAGCAGCCAGCCTGTTGTCCCCAGCTCATCGTCCACCCAGCAATTCGAGTAGATAAAATGGGAACCACTCCTTAGAGAGAGTGGGCATGCCAATCTCCCTTGTGGGAGGGTGTTAGCTGACGGTCAGACGTCCTGGTCGAGGCTTGGAAGGCGAAATAGCTTCTTGGCTACGAAAGAATCCCTGCAATGTTCCGGCCAGGCGGTGGCAGTGTGGCGATTGACATACGGGTCCTAAAGCCTGGCCAACACACAGCCGTGCGGAAAATGGCGGAGCCAAGCCAGAAGACGTCTATACCGGGCAGTGACGGCGCGTGCAATTAAAAATGAATATATGTTGTCTTCCCTATCCCCTACAAACATTGTTAGTCCCTTGTCTATATTGAGTAACTGTACATCGCTTTGAGCCCACTGGGGAAAGCGATTAATAAATGGAAAGTATTATTATTATTATTATTATTATTATTATTGTTGTTGTTGTTGTTGTTGTTGTTGTTGTTATTGTTGTTATTATTATTATTGTTATTGTTGTTATTATTATTATAAATGGAAAAAACAAACAATGGCTTGCTGCCGTGAGCCACTTTTTTAACAACAACAACAATACAAGTTGTTATTGCAGAAAGTTTAAGAAGGAAGGTAATAGTTACCCTGACCTGAATGGCCCAGTCTGGCTAGATCTTGGAAGCTAAGCAGAGCTGGCCCAGGTTAATACTTGGATGGGAGACCACCAAGGAAGTCCAGGGCTGCTACACCACTTCCGTTTGTCTCTTGCCTTGAAACCCCTACAACTTGGCGGTACTTTCCACCACCAGTAAAGCATGGAATCAAGGGAACCCAAGTTCAGATCTCCCACTTCATACTGAAGCCATTTTTATGACCTTCTGCCAGTCCCTGACTTTCAGACTAACATGTATCACAGTTTTTGTGACAATGATATAGGAGAATCCCATGCAATGCTCCCTCTAACCTATGGAGTCTTGTGAGCAAAAATTCTACTTTGTGAGCTACTGGCATTAAAGCTGTGAGCGAGTGATTTGGCTACTGCATAAATTAGTTTTCTCTGGAGGCGTCCTTCCTGAGCTAAGGCAAACAATGTATGAACCAGAGGCTAAAAAACGGTGAGCTAGCTCACACTAACTCAGCTTAGAGGGAACACTGATCCCGTGTATGTTGTCCTGAGCTTCTTGGGGGAAGGGTAGAATATGCGCAATAATAATGAATAATAATAAATGGAGTATTAATTCAAGAGTTGGGAAATAAGCATACTGAGGGAAGCGTTCAAAGTCTTATTTTTAGCATGCATTTTAATTTGTGTTCTGTTTTAGACAACTCCTTGTTGCCTGTCTTTGCTGCCATGCTACCAATCAAGTAATAGGTGTGATAGAACAGTGATTACTTAATCTAATGTCTTCATTATGCATAACTGCGCAATTTGGACAGATCAATAATGTCTTTTAAAATGTTAATGTGAGGCAGACAACAGTCATTTAAATTTTTATGAATCTTCATAAAGGAAATGCAATTTGAGTTGCATCTACAAATGAGCATGAAGCAGCAACAATTACAAGATTAGAAGATGTGCCGATTGGAACACTGTTGACAGCTCAAATAACCAGTGGCCTTGTGTGTCTCTCCCCCTTTTATCCACAGTTCTCAGTGGTCTCTGTTCCAATGATTGTCCTCGCAAGATAACGGTAAGTATGTTTGCTAGAAGTGTTCTTGGACTGGTTTGGATGGCTGCGTCAGCAGCCTTATTGTGCCTGGGCTTATCTAAAAACATTGCTGGGAGGGAAGACGGATGGCTTTGCTGGGCAGCTCACAAGCTAAAGCATCAATGTGGCATCCCAAGAAATTCTTTCATGGGTGCAGGAAGTTGTGGTTATCTGCGTGAATGGCATGGCTGCTTATTTCCTAACTAGAAATAATGCCCGTTGCGGAAATAAATACAACGGGATCTAGAAAGAGGCTCTGGGAGAGTGCTCTGGCTTTGGGCAAACAGTGTCAGTTTCCTGTGGCAACCTCAGCAGGGTTTAATGACAGAGTCCACTGTTTTCTCCAGAGGGACTGATCTCTGCTACCTGAAGAGCATTTGTATGTTTGAGTTATCTGTAGCCCTCACCTGGAGAGTTGTAACCATTGTTAGCCATTCTCCTCTCCCCTATGAGGTATGTTATGCAACTGAAAATCCCAACTGCCTTGCGGGGGGTGGGGGGGAGTTTGAGGTGTGGAATGAAGTCCAATCAGCTTCCATATGCAAAAGACCAGGTTGTCGCAGCAGTTGTGGTGTGGGCGGGACCCGGGCTTTGCCTTCTGATTGGTGGCGATATATGCTGAGGAGCAGTGCCATCAGCCATACACTAAGGGAGTGCATTTTAGAATTAGAACTTTGGCACCCACTACTCAATTATATATAAGGAGAGATTTATGCTCGCCAGGAATTCTAAAAACATTCAGAGAAACTCCTTAGAGGAGATGAACTGATGTTCATTTACAGGCCACCAATTCCTCTCCTCTTTCCCAGTAGTCCCTGGGGAGACTTGTTTATTTAAAGTACTTTCTGAGTGGCTTCTCCAAAAAATATGCCCAAAACAGCTTACAATAAACAGTAAAATACGTGGTCGAAGGCTTTCATGGCTGGAGTTCATTAGCTGTCGTAAATTTTCCGGGCTGTATGGCCGTGGTCTTGGCATTGTAGGACCTGTTTTTTCACCAGTAGCTGTGACATCCTCAGAGGTATAACACAGAAAGACGGAGTACTCTCTGTGTCAAGGTGAGAAGAAAAATGGTAGGCAGGTAATTTATGTCTACTCGGGGGCAGTGTTCCCTCTAGGCTGAGTTACTTTGAGCTAGCTCACAGTTTTTTAGCCTCTGGCTCACATATTTTTGTCTTAGCTCAGGAAGGATGGCTCCAGAGCAAACCAATTTATGCAGTAGCCAAATCATTCGCTCACAACTTTAATGCCAGTAGCTCACAAAGTAGAATTTTTGCTCGCAAGACTCCACAGCTTAGAGGGAACATTGCTCGGGGGAGGGGGGTGTAGGGCTGAGTCATTATCTTGTCAGAATTCCCCAGGCTCTGAAACATGCTAGTGGAGGAGCCGAGGATGCCAATCACAGGTGCTGGTGAAACATCAGGTCCTACAATGCCAAGACCACGGCCATACAGCCCGGAAAATCTACAACAGCTAAAGTAAAAAAATGTTGTCCAGGAGCAGGCCCACCCCGTCATTTAAGCTGCACCCAGGTTTACCCCCAGAGCCATGGGGTGGTCACTCCGGAACTGACTGTGAAGGCAGCAGAGAAGTCTGTCCTGAGGCTGCACCAGCAGCGACCCAGTTTTTGCTCTTGAAGGCCCCGCTATAGCTGCTAGACTGTCAGCAGTCTAGCCTGGCCAGGGCAGTGGGAGGGGAAACAGGACTGCAGGTGCACCCTGAGATCCCTGTCAAAATCTCGAGACTGCCAGCTCTTGCGAGACATCGGGGGAATTGACAGGGCATGTACTGCCTGGTGCATTGGCCTCGTAAGGGGCTTAGAAGCTGGGCTCTCTCTCCCCAGGCTGTGCAGGAGAGACCCAGCAGAGGGGAGGAGGAGAAGGAAGGGGGCACGGCAGTGGAGGGGGCTTCTAAGAACAGGGGCATGGACACCCCCAGGACCTCACATAACCTCATGAAACAACTAAAAGCAGCCATCTGTGAAGCTAATCACTGATACAACCAGAAAAAGGAACAACATACAAAAATGCATTAGAGCAATAAGGGGGTTAAAATGGAATAGAAAAGTAGCATAAAACAGCAGTGAGAACGGGGGTAAAAGAGTTGTTAACAAGCGGTGGAAATAAACCACCTGCCTAAAATGCAATCTTGCGGCCATAAGAGCCAGTTACACTAACCCATCTATGCAACAGCACTCTGAAGACCTAAAAATTCAAACAGAACAGATTCCAAAATCAATCGGTCAGCTTGGTTGTTTGCCCTGGCACTTCTCAGTTGGCATCTCAAGAATCTAGACACGGGGAAGGTGTTTGGTGTAGTGGTTACGTGCGTGGACTCTAATCTGGGAGAACCGGGTTTGATTCCCCACTCCTCCACTTGCACCTGGCTGGATGACCTTGGGCAAGCCATAGTTCTGGCACAGCTGTTCTTGAAAAAGAGCAGTTTCTTTCAGAGCTCTCTCAGCTCCACCTACCTCACAGGGTGTCTGTTGTGGGGAAAGGAGTTTGTAAGCCGCTCTGAGACACCTTTGGGTAGTGAAGGGCGGGGTCTAAATCCAACCTCTTCTTCTTCATCATAATTGAGATGCGCCTTGAATGCAATAGATGCAGAATGCTTTAGGGTTAATGCAATATATAGACGATGGGAAGCATGGAAGGGCAGACCTGGGTGAGGAGAGCTCCAATGGACATGTATGCAGCCTGGCAACATTCGCTGTCTTCCCCCCTCCCCAACCAGTTTCCTGTCTTTCGTGATGCCGTCTCTAAATAATAAGCCTTGAGCAAGACCCACTAATTTTGAAAGTCATGTCTGCATTTGCAAGAGCAGTTCTGTAGCTGATTCGCTTGACAGCTTGGGTCCCTAAGGCACTGTTGGCGCTGAAATATTTGCCTCCCGCTTAGCTACCCTGGACTTCGTTTGAGGATCAAGCCTTCTTGAATGGCTTGCCTTAGTCTTTATTCCCTCTCCCTAAAGATACTGTGCCACTGCTTTGACAGTTGGGGTGGGGGGGGTGGGGAGATTTAAAGGATGCTCTGTTTTCCGTATGCTTTGTCCTTCTGACGTTTGTATTAAACTCCCTTGGAGGCATATGCGGAGTTCATAATGATTCTGGCTTCAGAATAATTTCTTTATAGTCCTGAGAGCGACTGCCATCGTGAATACTATTAATGAACCAGAATAGCCATTACCTGCAAGGGATGGATCTTATCAGGGCTGAAAGATGTCACTGGCCCTCTGTTTTAATGGATCGTTTGGCTCCTTAGACTGGGATCGGCATTCAGTACTCCTTGTATAGTTTACACAGCCACACGCAAGCCATCAAATCCCACCTGAAATTCTGACCGTCCGGCAGGTCTGGTGCATTAAGATGGAAACTACACAGCTGTACAGACCGAGCTTATAGTACTTACTAACCAGACTAGGCACCTTACAGAAGGAAAATGGCAGCAGTCTTGCCCACAGCCTTACGGTCCTGAGAAATTACGTAGTGTTCCGTACGGGAAGGGGCTGAGGTAGAAGTGAACTGCAAGGGGGAGGCCCGAACAAAGAGATTGGTTTTGAAGAGGATGGCGTTAGATGGATAGAGGGGAGACTTGTTGAGCAGAGGATATTTCAAGGACAAAGGGGACAGAAGAAGAAGAGATTGGATTTATACCCCACCCTTCACTACCCAAAGGTGTCTCAGAGCGGCTTACAAACTCCTTTCCCTTCCCCTCCCCACAACAGACACCCTGTGAGGTAGTTGGGGCTGAGAGAACTCAGACACAAACTGCTCTTTTCCAAGAACAGCTCTTATCAGAACTATGGCTTGCCCAAGGTCATCCACCCAGGTGCAAGTGGAGGAGTGGGGAATCAAACCCGGTTCTCCCAGATTAGAGTCCGCACACTTAACCACTACACCAAACTGGCTCTAAGCTAAGGAAGAGTGCCGTGGCAGGTTGGTAGTGGAATTAAGAAGGATGGCAGATGAGTGAAGGCAAATAAGGAGGTTGGGAAAGCCAAAAAGTAGTAGGAAGGCACAAGAGCACAGAAATAACTTAGCGGGAAAGATGAAGCCGCTTGTTGCTTATTTTATTGAATTGCATGTGTAGCCCACATGTCTTTCTTCAGGGCGGTATGCATGAGGTCTCCCATCTAGGTTCTGACCTCATCTAGACCTGCTTAGTTTCAGCAAGGCGTGGCTGAGTCTTGCAGCTTAAGACTCTGCCCTAGACCTGAATGTGATGGGGCTGAGGGAGCCACCATGAGGAGCAGCGTAGGAAAGCAGCGGGACCAGAGCAGTGCCGGTCGGGAGGCAATGAGGTGGGTGGCGGCCAATGCTCCCTCTAAGCTGTGGAGTCTTGTGAGCGAAAAATCTACTTTGTGAGCTGCTGGCATTAAAGTTGTGAGCGAGCGACTTGGCCTCTACATAGATTCGTTTGCTCTGGAGCCCTCCTTCCTGAGCAAAGACAAAAATGTGTGAGCCGGAGGCTAAAAAACCGTGAGCTAGCTCACACTCACTCAGCTTAGAGGGAACACTGGTGGCAGCAGAGGGAGAAGTGGCTTGGCCTGAGACGCTGCTTTGTTGGCCTTTCCTGGCACCTGTCCCTTTTCTAAAACAGAGAGTACCACCAGCAATAAAAGCCACCTTAAGTCCTATTTTAGGACAGAAGTATAAATAAATAATATAATAATAATAGCATGATAAAAAGTAGAGACATCCCCCTGCCAACAAAAGTACGCATGGTCAAAGCAATGGTATTCCCAGTAGTCATGTATGGCTGCGAGAGTTGGACTATAAGGAAGGCCGAGCGCCGAAGGATAGATTCTTTTGAACTATGGTGCTGGAGAAGACTCAACTTGAGAGTCCCTTGGACTGCGAGAAGATCAAATCAGTCAGTCCTAAAAGAAATCAACCCTGACTGTTCCCTGGAAGGCCAGATAATGAAACTGAAGCTCAAATACTTTGGCCACCCAATGAGAAGGGAGCACTCACTGGAGAAGACCCTGATGCTGGGAAAGATCGAAGGTCAAAGAAGACGGGGAGGGCAAAGGATGAGATGGTTAGACAGTGTCATAGATGCAACGAACATGAAACTGAGCAAACTTCAAAGGACGGCGGAAGACAGGAGGGCCTGGCGGGAGCTGTCTGGTCCATGGGGTCGCGAAGAGTCGGACTCGACTGTGCGACTGAACAACAACAACAACATAAATAAATAAATAAATAAATAAAATCGCTGGTCAACCACTGATTTTCACCATTCTTCAGCCCCTTTTTCAGGCATCTCCTGTTCTTACCAAACTGTCAGCCTGCCCTCAGTCATAATCTTTTTAGATTTGTATTAGCTGATGAGAATAAAGGATCTCCGTTGGAAACATGTACTGTTTTCTGCATCACCGGCTCAAAAAGAACCCCCAGCGTTCCTTCCCCCCCCCACCAGACCAGATTGGACTTCCTACTTTAAATGCTATTGTACTCGTTTCAAATCGACCTCAAAACTCAGCAGCTAGGTTAGCGCCAGGACGTCTTGCACCGAAAACAATTCCATTCCCAGTGTGTTCAGACAGGCGTGTACAGGAATGAAATGACAGCAGTACCGTTATTGGGGGGGTGGGGGTGGAACAGGCAACCCTTGTATCGTTTGCAACGCGAAAACAAATTGTCTTCTACGATCAGAATATCAACAATAAATCATTGTAGCCTTCCCCGGCGCTGGGAACAAAAGCAGTCTGCAATCATTTCATCGGGTGTTTTTTTTTAATTCTTCCTGTGCTGATTGCTAAGCTTTGAAAAGGAGGGGGGGGAAGGGGAAGAAAGAAAAGTAAAACTGATTATCTTTCATTCCAGCCCTTTGGTGTGAATCAGCCCGGACCTTATATTATGTACACAACAGTGGATGCAAATGGATACTTGAAAAATGGTTCAGGTAAGACTGCTCTCTGCTGATTGGCTGTCTACACTTGTTTCCCAAAGTTTGGCCCTTGGATTGTGATAGCAGGAAAGTTTCGTCTGCAGTAAAACAGCTAGATTTGAGAACAGCGGCACCTTAGTGGCCAAGAAGAATTTCGGGGTATGAGCTCTCGAGTCAAAGCTCCCTTCGTCATACCTAGGGTTGCCAAGTTTAAAAATCGCCACGGCGGGGGACTCCCGTCCGGCGACTAGCGCGTGTACCGCACGCACGTCACCCGGAAGTGACGTTAGGACGCCGGGCACGCTGGGGGCAGGGAACGGGCCTCTGGGGCGGGGTTTTCCCCGCCCCCCGGGGGGACTTGGGAAGCCTAGTCATACCCAAGTAGGAAAGGGACTCTTAACTGTCTGCTCTGTCCTTCCCCGCCAGCCCCAGGACTTGTCAGGGTCACTGCTTTCTGGAAGGAAGGACAGACAGAACTGGAAAAGAACTCTTGCCACTTGTTTTGCCCTCTCCCTTCCTTGTGGATTAGTCCATTGATGACCGGTAGATCTGTTATTAAGAAACGTGGGTTTCAGTATTTATGGCAAGGGTGGCCAAACTTGCTCAGCGTAAGAGCCACATAGAATCAATGCCAGATGTTTGAGAGCCACAATACATGAACAGATATTACACACACGTTTTTATTGGGAAATATGCAAATTTGCTTTTTATTAACATTAAATGAGACTGCCAAAAGTAAAAAAACAAAAGGGGTAAAAACAGATATTGATAATGATATTTATTTGTCCAATTATATTTATTTGTTTGCTAATGATAGTTGTCTGAGAGAGGTGGAAAGAAAGAAGAGGTGGAAAGAAAGAAGAGGTGGAAAGAGAGAAACAAAGGAAGCAAATAGATGGGAGGGAGGGTGAAGGAAGGAAGAGGGAGGGAGGGAGGGAGGGAAGTATGCCTCCCCTTCGCTTCCCCAGCTGCCCTGCCGGGAGCCGCACAAGATGTGTAAAACAGCCGCCTGTGGCTCCCGAGCCACAGTTTGGCCACCCCTGATTTACGGTGTCTGATAACTTTCCGGTTTGTTGAAACCCCAAACCATTTTAAGCCTGCATTGAGTAAGAGGACAGCAGATTAAAAGTGCCCTGATAAAAATAAATAATATTATGCAGGGAAGATGGGGAACTGGTTGGAGGAAATAGCGGTTGCTTGGCTTTCCCAGGCCCATTAGGGAAGAATGAGGGTGTAATGAGGAATGTTGATCGAGTAGAGATGGGAAGCTATGGACGTGGCCTGCCTATGTGGAGCTGATACATTCAGGGGGAAATTGGAACCCTTTGGGCAACTGTTTAGCCTGATCTGTGACACCTGTGTGGTACGGTGGGTGGTATCTTGGATCTGCACATGAGAAACCCAGTTTGATCATTCTTTTTTTAGTTTAACGAATGTTCAGACATAGACTATCCCATTTGCTGTTACTTATTATTGCTTGTAGCAATTTAGACACTTTATGTTGGCTCATCCAGGCTAGCCCAATCTCGTCAGCTCCCAGAAGCTATGTAGGGTCAGCCCTGGTTAGTATTTGGATGGGAGATCACCAAGGAAGTCCAGGGCTGCGACACAGAGGCAGGCGATGGCAAAACACCTCCGAATGTCTCTTGTCTTGGAAACCCTAAGGGGTTGCCATAAGCCAGATGTGTCTTGACGGCAAAATATATATACAGGGCTATTTTTGGGCAGGAACGCACAGGAACGGAGTTCTGGCTGGCTCCCAAGTTGACCACGCCCAGCAGGAACTTATTAGCATAATAGGTCACACCCAACAGCAGAAACCTATTAGGATTGGCTACATTAGGGGTGTGTGGCCTAACATGCAAAGGGGGTTCTTGCTACAAAAAAAAGCCCTGGGTTTTGACAACAAACAAGGTGAACAGAATAAGAGGCAAAAGGTCGGTGTGGCTGGATGACCTAACTTCTGGTAACATGGGGGTGTGGCCTAATATGTTAATGAGCTGTGTTGTCAGGGGTGTGGCCTAATATGCTAATGTGTTTCTGCTGTTGGGTGTGGCCTATAATGATAATGAGTTCCTGCTGGGCTTTTTCTACCAAAAAAGCCATATATATATATATATATTTCAATGCCGGGTCTTTTGGTGTGGAGGAGGATCACTTAATTGGACCCTTTCAGGAGCTTTGAGTTTTCATGTATCCAGAGACCTAGCGTGGAGTATCAGCTAAAACAGTAGGTTCCACTCTGAGAAACTGATATTTGAATCCCACTCAGTTATGGTTGGCTATGGGTCATTCCAGTAGTCCCCTTTTTGTTAAACTTGCCTCCAGATAAATCTCTTTCCCACTATTTTGACTCTGTTGTTGTTTTGGGGGGTAGGTCTTACTACTGTTTCGTTAGTGCGAATTGCTGTTGTATACATTGCTATTCTTCTGCGCAGTCTCTGGGAAGTAAATCTCTGATCGGGTAGGGTTGCTGCATTTTTTCCTCTCTCTCTAGATTATGTATAAAATAAATGCATGGGCATGAACACAAAACCGCTATGCAGTGCACAGCCTGCCTCTGCAGCTGTATGTTTTCAGTGGTAGGTAATATATTGTAGACATGCAGAAACATTCTTTCAAAGAAATCGTTATGTCTTCCTCCTCCCCTGCTAGGAAGACCAAGCATGGTCATGGCCCTCAGAAGGTTGAGAAGAGCAAAGTTAAAAGAGAACAGAGGAGATACGAAAATTTAGCCTCCTTAAGCCCATAAGAGTTTATGATCTCTTGGGAGAGGGCATTTGAGTTGGGGCATGGGTTCACCCCTCCCCCCCAGTGTTCCCTCTAAGCTGAGTTAGTGTAAGCTAGCTCAACAGGTTTTTTTAGCCTCTGGCTCACACATTTTTGTCTTAGCTCAGGAAGGAGGGCTCCCGAACAAACTAATTTATGCAGTAGCCAAATCACTCACTCACAACCACTGTTCCCTCTAAGCTGAGTTAGTGTGAGCCAGCTCACAGTTTTTTAGCCTCCGGCTCACGCATTTGTGTCTCAGCTCAGGAAGGGAGGGCTCCAGAGCAGACTAATTTAATGCAGTAGCCAAATGGCTGGCTCACAACTTTAATCCCAGCAGCTCACAGAGTAGAATTTTTGCTCACAAGACTCCACGGCTTAGAGGGAGCACCCCCCCCCCAATTACTTGAGAGGACCTAACATTTATTTATGTTTTATTCATTTATATGCCACCTTCCTGCTTAAGAGGACCAAGATCAGCTTACAGGAAACTGCTGGAATACAGATTTTCCAAATAATACACAAGCAACAAGCAAACGTATCCTGGGTTTGTCCTGACTGATGCGGCTGTGAGCCCAGGGCCAAGGACCCTTTGGCCGCTGCCCTTCCGTTTGCACTTCTGCCCTCACCCAGACTTTAAGTACCTGCAGCGAGAGGAAGACAAATGGAGCTCACGTGGAGCTCAGCGGCTGGCTTGATTCCAGCAAGATCTTCCTCAAACCCCCCCCCCCACACACACACCCCCTCCCCTTCGCCAGCTGTGCCTGCCATTTGGAGATTTTTAGTCCTTCTCATGCAGTTATAACATGGTGCAGGGATAACATGGTCACATACCTCCTCATGGAGGAGAGAATTCCCTACTGACTTGAGCTATGAGCCCACCTCTCTGTTAAGAGCCAAAGGCTGCAGGCTGTGAATATCCATGAACATACATTTATTATTTATTTATTTATTTATTATTTACATTTTTTATCCCGCCCTCCCCGGAGGCTCAGGGCGGCTTACACGGCATATCGCCAAATCATACAATAGAACAGTAAAAACATTAAAAATATTAAAACACATCACAGTCATAAACAAATTTTTGGTGCTCCTCTCCTAAAAACAAGATGGCCGTCTCCTAAAACGTCCCATTCTCACCCAAAGTGCCCGCATCATGATGACCCTGTACAGAAATCATGGGGCGTTGGTGGTACAATGGCGATGGCGGCTCCTATTCGAACGCCTGGCGGAAGAGCTCCGTCTTGCAGGCTCTGCGGAACTGTGCTAGGTCCCGCAGAGCCCTGATCTCCTCTGAGAGCTCATTCCACCAGATAGGAGCCGCCACCGAAAACGCCCTGTTCCTGGTCATGACAAATTTGATGACCCGGGGACCTGGGACGTCCAGTAAGTTCTGATTCCCCGACCGTAGTGCTCTTGGGGGAACATGTGGGGAAAGGCGGTCCCTTAAGTAGGCTGGTCCCTGGCCATACATGAAGATGTTATCATTGTATTCCCCCCCAAATCATAACTTTTTAGGCAGGTGAGTCCCTTTTCCATAGCAAAAAAGTTATGTGCGTTTATTTAGGAAAGGAGACTGTATAAAGAGGTGTTTTTTTAAAACAAAAAAATGGTTGCTAGTTTCCTTAAGGGGGCAAGAGGCTGAATGCTTTAACTCGGCTTTAAATGAAACGTATCATGACCTTTCCTCGGGCTTAATTGTACTCATCGGATCTGTTGTTTATGCAGTCATGGCTCTTTTTTGTGCATTTATTTCCCCCCCACCCACCCACCACCCTTTGCTTTTTATGAATAATAATAATAAGCACAAACTCAGGCTTAATAATTCAGGTGAGCCAGTGCCATGAAAGTATACAGTGCTGTGGAACAGCTGGCTGCAGGTACCCTTATAATTAAGCAGATTATAATAAGCATCTCATATACAGGGTGGTCATATTCAAAAACCGGCAACAGACTGAATAGCTGCATGAGCACTGTCAGTCTGGGTGATTTTATAACCGAGTTGGCTGCTAATAAATTAAAGCATTTTTCGTGCACAGATGGTAAGGAAAACCTGTCCTCCCCTGATAGAAAAAAGACCAAGAGGGGAAAAGGTGCAAAATGAGCCCAGATTAAAGCTCACTGAAAGTCAAGTTTGTCTAAGAGTCCGGCACGCTACACAGCATTGATTAGGGCAGGCCACAGCGATCAGTCATTGAACCTTTCGGTGACCCAGACTAGCCATTTGATCTAATTTGGATGTTTGT